TGGTGGAACATAGTGGATGGATGCTGTCCCAATGGAACTGGCAGGCAATGGTTCCAGACATAGTTCAGTCCAGCTCCATGGTGCTCAGTGGGCATTACATTTGAAGGATGGCTTGTGTTTTAACAAGATAGTGACACCCTGATCGAGGCTGTGGCAGAAAACTGTGTGTTTTCTCACAGAATCATAGAATTTTAAGGTTGGAAGGGAACTTGGGAGGTCATCTACTCCAACCCCCTGCTCAAAGCAGGACCAGCCCCAACTAGATCGTTACAGCCAAGGCTTTGTCATGCTGGGGAAAAAGATGGAGATTCCACCGCCTCTCTAGGTAACCTATTCCAGTGCTTCACCACCCTTCTAGTGAACAAGTTTTTCCTAATATACAACCTAGGCCTCCCTTGCTGCAACTTGAGACCACTGCTGCTTGTTCTGTCATCTGCCACCACTGAAAATAGTCCAGCTCCATCCTCTTTGGAACCAACCTTCAGGGAGTTGAATAATGCTATTAAATCCCCCCTCAGTCTTCTCTTCTGCAGACTAAATAAGCCCAGTTCATGGACTGAGCTATCCTAACACCTCTCACTGATAACTCAGATATATAATGGGCAGTGGGGCAACTTCAAATGTCTATTTTGCTAAGCTCTTTTGTGGACTTGGCAAAATCAGTTCTAATGTGGCAGCCTAGTCACAGAACATGGATCTTCCCTTCAGCCAGTCTGTCTGGAGGAGTTTGAAATGACCAGGCTAGTGTGCAGCCTCCAAAAAACTGGCCTTTGTGTGGCTACTAGGAAGAAATAGGGGGGGGGGGGGGGGGGGGGGGGGGAACTCGTACCATTCCTGGCAAGTGTTGCAGAAGCCTGAAGAATCTGAGATGGGTTTCCTTCTAGAAAGAGATCCACAGTATGAATTTGGATGTTTTTGCCAGCTCCTAAGTAGGAGTCCTGGGTGACAGGGGTGACGTGTAGGGGGTGCACGTGGCAGTGCATCCCCTGCAAAAAGGTGCCGCCAACACTGCCGCTCACCACCCTGGCACTGGCACCACCAGTGGTGTCTGCAGGTGGTCCCTGATTGTCCCTGCCCACCACTGCCAGTGGCACCTGCAGGTGGTTGCTGACCCATCGTCGGCGCTTGCCACCACCAACAGTGCTGGTAGTGTCTGCAGGAGCTACCCGCTTCCCGCTGCTGAGCTCCAGCCACCACCGTGCTCCCGTTGCCAGCGGCATAGCTATGCCCCCCCCCCCCCCCCCAGCTGCTTGAGGCACGCGCCATTCATGTTGGGTACAAGCTCTAACTCCCCTCTTGCCTGTGATTCCCACAGGGTTGTTACGAGCTTATCGCTGGACCAATGGACAGACATGCCTGGGGTGTAGCTTGGTTTGGCTTTGCCATTCTCTGCTGGACTGTGAGTACTAAATCTGCTATATTAATAGCATAAGGGTGAAGAATTTAGCGTGGGTGAAAGGGCTGCCGACTAGAGAACAATTCTTTCAACCTTGGAATCCTTCCAAGTGGATGACAATGGGAATGTGCAGGGAGGGCCTTTTTTTTTTTTTTTTTTTTTTTTTTTTTTTTTTTTTTTTGAAGGGCAGTTTTCAGACAAAGCTGCTCTTCAGTCCTGTGTTCCAAAAATAGCCCCACTTCTAGCTCATCCACTGTGTAAAGAGGGTCAGTGGTATTTAGGGTTAATAGCAGAGATGTCCAGTCTTTGAGCACAGCCTGCTGAAACTGAAGGACCTCTGCTAAGGCAGGTAAGCTATGCTGTGCATAAATTTTTAGCAAGGGGTTGATTGCACAGCCCATGAAGTGAAACTACTTGCATGAACAACCTAGCTCCATTATCCCATGTACACCTACATGGGAAGGGATGCCACGAGCATATCTGTTTTAATGCAGATGTTCACTTAAGTGGCTGTCACTTCATAATGGCCTCCCAAACACGTTTTTTGAGGGGGCTGAGGTCTCTCTTGTAGAGAAGCATCCATTTTCCTTTGTTGGACGCCTCCAGTACAGGGGTACTGTGACAGCTTCCAGCTTCAAAGCTCTCTGGGCTGGAGTCATGCAGTAACTGCAGAAACAATGCTATTTGTGTTAGGGAATAGATCATCCTCATATGACCTAGTATCATGGAAAATGGGTCACCAAAAACCTTTACATAATCCATAAAACAAGCATGAGAAATACTTAAGCAGCAGATAAATTCTAAACTGGTTTTAAAACTTTCCAGAAAAACCACTGGAACCAAATTAACTTGTCTGTTTTAACTTCTGCATCAAATAGTTAAATTCCTCCGTACAGACTTTCAGATCCCTGTAGTTCCTTGGAGCTGATTCTGTCACAGGAATCCTTGACCTAATTCAGCAGAAAGCTGACAGTGAAGCAAGCTTTGAGAGACAGTCCCACTAAACAACCTCTCTTTCCTTTCAGTTCTGGGTTCTTCTCTGTACCATGTTCTACTGGAGCAGAATTGAATATTGAAGGTGCAGCATCTTCCAACAAACTTTCTGAAGTAGTGCATGGAAAAGGCATTAATTTTGATATCTCCATATTCCCCCTGTACTGGGGAGGATTTGAGGCTCTAGGTTACTTTCCCCCTCCATGTACATGCTTCCCCAAACACCTAACAGATGAGTCCAATGAGCTGACACCTCCACAAAAGAAACTCTTCTCCCTAGGCTTTTTTTTTTTTTTTCTAGTTTTACAGCTTTCATGCCTATGAATGGATACTATTTTTTTTTTTCCTCTCCTCCTCCCTCACTGTTCTGAGGCCTTTTTGAAAATGAGGTTACAAAAATGATCTAATCCTTCTGGTGATGGCTTTAGAAGGGGAATGGCCTATGTATATACTTGCTTCAGAAAACCCTTCTCTCTAAACTAGGACTCTTACAAAAGACATCTGGAACAAATGAGATGCAAAAGACTCATGTAAGGTACAGGAAAAATACTGGGAATTCCTCTGACCAGTAGATATGGATACTGCTGCCTTTACTCCCTGCAAGAGGGGAAATTTAGGCACAACACTGCCAACCCCCCGCCCTCTGAATGCATCTTAATTTCAAGGTTTGGTTTGCCAATTTAATTGGAAACATACCTGTGTCAACAGGTAGAAAATGACATCAAAGATGAAAGTTGCTAATCAGTCCATTCCAAAGGTAGTTCTCCAAGCTGCAGTATGATTCCTACATTCAGACCTACTTCTACTCACTAGCTAATTCATGCAAACCTATTTGGTATAGATTAACCACCATTGTAATTCTTCATTTCCTAAGACTAGGACTCATTCAGGGAACAACAGAAATATTTTTTTGCCTTGATGAAGAAAAATCTTGCACTGAGATGTCAGAGGGGAATATATTGTCCCTCTGCTTTTGCCACTTCCAGCCTACTCCATCTTTCTACCTCTAGCTACTCCTAATTGGGTAGGACATTTAGTGGTAAAGGGAATTAGAAACTCTTTTAGTCATGTTTTATCCATGACTGACTTGCTGCATCCCATTCAGTCCTTGCATTGGCAGATTACAATTCCCACTTAAGTCAGAAAAAGGATTTGTTTACAGTGGTCCTTTTCTGTGCCAGTTGGTTTCTTAGTATCCTGTGACTTAAATTATGCAAAACGTGCTCCTCTACAAAATAATTTTTAAGATGAAACCTATTGCTAAGCATCTTAGCTCCTAAGAGCTTGCTAGCTGCCCAGATTTTTTGGGGGGGGGGTTCTGTATATTTTCCCCCAAAGCTTTATTAAAAAAGCCAAATTGGAAAAATCTCATTGCCAAGGATCTTGAATAAATTCAGGGGTGCATGAGACTGTGGACCTGTGTTTGAAAAGTTTGCAACTCCATGCTTGTCTCGCTGTGAGCTGCTGGTGTCTGCGTAAGGAGTATAGTACTGTAGAAACACTGGGTATCTGCATTGGAAAGGAGACCTTTCTTTTACTTGTCACAAAAAGGGGTAAAGGACTTGAACATGAATGTATCCTCTCACCTTCATGGAGTCGTTATCAGTGTCCAGCCTGAGGGATGGTATCTTGTGCGTGCAGTCTGCTTTGGAAGAGAACAGCGGAAGGCTTCCAGCCTTGATGAAGTGGCAGGGGCTTTTTATGCATTCAGACTTTATTGCATGACCATAAGCACTGTTGGTTCTGAATACTCCTGCAGGTGTTGGCCCAAGCAGATGTGTCGGTGGTTCTCAGATTTTTTTTTTTTTTTAAATACATCCCCTAGTGCTGACTACTGCAAGGGACTGCTAAGTGGTCTGGTGCTAGTAAATAGTTGCTTCTGAGCTGATGCTGACCCCTTTCCCTTTGTAAACTCAAACTGTTCTGCCCTGTAGATTTACACCTCCTCCAGGTTTCCATGCCGAGTGCTTGCTTGATCTGACTACCCCAAAAGCTTCTGCAAGCTGATGATATCTAATGGATTGGTACAGCCCTTTCCAGAAGCTGTCTCTCACATTGATGTGCCTGAAGAAGTGGCTTTCAGGATGAAAACCTCTAAAGCAGCATGTGCTGAAATTGCTGGGCTTTGAGAACTGCTGGGTTCCCCTTTTATGATCTCCCATTTTTTTCATAGCTGAAGGTAGGGAGGGATTGTACATATGCATGCTGCTTTCCCACCATCTCTGAAAATGCTTTGATTTAGTACTGACCTCTGCATAGAGATAAGATAGCAGATTCCTCTCCATTGCAGAACAGGGAGTAAGAGCCAGGCTGCTGCTTTCTCAATGTTATCTACCCCAAGCAATCCAAAAATCTTGAGATTAGCTTAAACTGATGATCTAAAACACCCCCAAACTTGTGTTCTACTTTGAACTTTTAGGTCAGGGGTTGGCACCCTACAGTCCAAGAGCTGATCCAGCCCATGTTGGTCTTCAGGAGGTTCCCTGTGCTACCATGGAGAAAAGTGGTGGCAGCCAGGGCCAGGTGCTTGCCTAGGGCAGGTCCTTCCTACCCACAGCCAGAAAAATTTGCCTACACCTGCTTTTGTTTTTTTGCCAATTGTAATCTGTTTCCCATTCATGCAGGGTGTCTACAAGCTTCCTTCTAGAGTGTGGGTGTGTGTGCATGCATGTGTGCTCTAAAATATGAGTTGTGTTGATCCAGTAGCTGCTGGCTACTAGGGGCTGCGGTTTGAGAAGCTCCAAGCTGGCTTTGCTGCTGTCAGAACTGGTGGCCTCATGCTGCTGAAACAAGATGACCAGGAGAGAACAGGCTTGTGGCAGAATGCTGTCAAGCCAGCCTGGAAGGAATCCTGCACTGCTCTTTCTGGTCTTCCTACTTTTGTGAGGTCCCATTCTAGTCCCTGCAGTTCCCCACTAGGGTGGTGGTCAAAGGATTCCAGGAGAGGGTGGGGAAAGCTGTGGGCAGCAGCGTCAAAGCAAAAGGAAAGATAAGGAATGAAAACCAGTAGGCTTATGCACAAATCAAAGGTCTTTTTTTCTTTTTCTTTTTAAATCCTCCTCATTTTCAGTACTCTGTGATTTTTAAGGCACAGGTCTCTGCTCACTTTGAAATGGCACTAGCTTGGGGACAATCAAATGAGGAAGAACTGAGCTGAAACTGAAATACTGCTAAAAGCAAATGTTTATTGGCTTCCCTGCATGCATGGACACTGCATTTCTTTTTTTTCCTTTCCCTGGAAAAAGAACATTGAGACCCAATGCTTCACAATGGTTTGTGTACAAAAATGCACACATGTAACTTGCGTGTCAAGTTCTCAAACTTGCATTCAGATTAGGTCTGTCACATTCACTGCAAGCAGACCTGGGCAAACCGAGTAGCTGCCTGGGGCCCGGATAGAAAGGAGCCCGAAAATGGTTGGTTTTTTTGTTTGGTTTTTCTTCCATTGTCCAATTATTATCATCATTATCTCTGGTAAAGGGAGGCCCAATACTAAAAATTCACCTAAGACCACCAGGAGTCTAAGTACAGTACTGACTGCAAGTAGTTAGGTATTTGCCTCCTGGAACTACATGCTTTCATAAAAATGAAAGCATTTTTATTCATAACTTTTTTGATTTTCTAGTCCTCCTTGCTCAGAGAAGGTTCAGTAATATGAAGTACTCTCTCTAAACCAGTAACCTCTTCAGACTCAAGGCACCTCTTCATGGCTTTTCTGAATTTAGCAGCACTCCTTTTGAAAAATGAATTTCACTCTTCTCTTGACTATGGAAAAACACTAGAGCAGTTCTTCTGTTTCAAGAACTCAAAGACCACAATGGGTCAGCATATTTTTGACATTACGGCTGTCTATTTGAAATCTCTAGGGTTATCTTGTGAATCATTTGTAGGTGTTGGCACACCTAACAGCATGGGCAACCGAGTTTGTGGGGTGCGGGCGAGTCTCAACCCTGGTACACTGATATCCTTTTAAGGGTGTCATGGGGCTCAATATTAGCACTGTTAGGTGTGCAGACATGAGTTACAAGATAAATCCAAAGATTTCAAGTAGGAATCCAAGTGTTAAAAACATGCTGACCATGCCTCCCGAGTCTGAGGGGGCACCAGATCACTGACCGGGGGGGACGGGTCCCCCAATGGCTGATCATCTAGCCTGAAATTTGCCAGCAGTGAAACCTGAAGTGCATTTCCACCAGCACTTTCAGTTTTGTGGCTGGCATTTCTGGGGGGGTGCATGGCCAATTTCAGGAGGTGCACCCCCTATGCATCGCCCATGCCTGACAGTGCTAATGTTGTGTGACACCCTTGAGAGGATATTACATCACTCCAGATAAAATCACTGTTCTAAAGGTTCAGAATTCACATTATTCTTCCTTCTTCTTCCCCAAAATTATCTTTTTAAAGCTTATGGGCCTTGATGAGGTGGGGCTGGAAATGCTGAAGTACTGGTTCCTCAAGGTCACTTGGCAGCTGGCTTCTGTCTTTGTGTTTTACTATGTACACATCAGCCTCATATTTTGTGCTTACTGTCATTCTCTTTCAGGAGCTTCTACTTACACAATTTCTGCTTTATGGGGTGTTTTTTCCTACACGCAATTACCTTTTTACCATCTCCCCTGCTACCAAGAATCCCCTGGTTACAGCCTGGCTATTGTCAAGTAGCATAGCTTGTGTGGGAGGGCTGCTGCAACTAGATTCTGCATACATTCCTGGTATCAGGGCATGGCTACCCCTTCCTCTCCATGGCTAAGTACAGCCAGTCTAAAAGCCCAAGGCTGAATCAATTAAATCTTTGCAGGTTTCTCTAAGCTGAATAGATTGAGCCATTAATGACCTGAACAGACATTCACCTTTGAATCCAGAAAAGCAGACAGATGCCTGCGGTGGCCCAGACCAGAAGATGGGGCGCACTAGAGCACATCTCCCAGGCTGCTGCCCACTGCCGAGGGCACCCGAATGCAGCCAAGAGTGGCCCACCCCTGATTGGCTGCACAGAGCACATGTCCATTTCTTCCCCCCGCCCCACTCCCTGTCCCTGCTGTCCCTCCCAGGGTCCAGCACTGGGCATCACCTTTTGTGAAGGGATCCCTGTGCCTCAGTGGGAGTTTCCCCAGCCAGGGCAGGGTCCCCTAAGTCCTGCCGGCAAGGACTTCCACCCTCCCAGCCCTCAGCACAGTCCAGCACGAGTTTCATCCTGCTGGGAACAGTCCCTCTAGCCCTAGGGCTTCTCCTGCCCTGGCTGGGTGATGCAGAGGTTGAATTCCCCCTTCCCACCCCTCAGTGCTCTCTAGTACCAGCTTGGCCCCAGGCTGGAGGGACTGTTCCCCTAGTGCCAGACTGTGCAGAGGGGTGAGAGGGAATAATTCCCCCTCTGCACTGGTGGCAGGGTTCAGGGGGACCCTGCCCAGTATGGGGACCCCCCCCCCCACTAGGCCACAGGGATTCCCCCCATGTAGCCTGTCAGGCACCAGCTTGGACCCGGCTGGAGGGACTGCTCCTGTCCCCTCCCCATCTGTGGGGGCAGGGCTGTGCTAAGCTAGCATTGGACTATGGAGAGGGATGGAAGGCAGGAATTCCCCCTCGGCATGGACAGCAGGGCTCAGGGGGACCCTGCCGAGGTGGGGAACTCCCACTGAGGCAGGGAGATCTGGCTGGTCCCAGGCTGAAGGGACTGCTTCCCTCCCCATGCACACACACCAGTGACTGATGTGGCCCCAGGGGACACCTGTGCACACCAGGGCTTGGGGCTGGGCTGGGAACGGGCAGTCTCTGTTCCCCTCCCCCCCCCTCCCCAGGCACTGGGCTGACAGGTGCAGGCAGGACTAGCAGAACAAAGGCTTTGCTGTCTGTAACAGCCCAGAGGTGGGGCTGGACCAGCCCTGCTTGGCTGGAGCTGACAGCATGGGCCAAGGCTAGCCCACCCTCCCTGCAAGTGGGGCTGGGTTGTGGGGGAGCTGCAAAGGGACTGGGATGCTGGGGGACTGTGAGTTGTCTTGAGTCAGGAGAGGACATAAGACAGACATTCAATAGGCCAGTTTAACCTAAATCAGTTAAGTTTGATACCACATTCATCCAGGTCTAAAACCGGTTTTGGCCACTTGAAACTGGTTTATGTACACTGAACTTCTGTTGCTACAATTTGAACCAGTTTCCAATCGCTTCTACTGGTCTATTTGTAATGCCTGGATATTTATCCACATAAGTTTGTGTGCTCCGATGTGCCAGAAATCCGGCACATCAGAGCAGACTCAGTTAATTGAGGCTGCGGAGCATGCAAGCTGACACACCTGGTGCTGCGTTCCATGCACTTGTATAAATGGCAAAATGCGCGTCGGCACTGAGAAAATGGCACCAGTGTGCTTTGCAACTAAAACACCTTCGATGTGTTTTAGTTCAAAAGCACATCACCACCATTTTCTCAGTGCTGACATGCATTTGCTGTTTATACAAATGTATGCAGCGCAGCACTGGGCACTTTTAAAAGTGCCAGGCACTGCATCGCATGCATGTATGCATACACCCTCTGTCCCTAGCCCATAACTCAGCATTCCTGTGCACATGTTTTTCCTCTCAGTTCCTACTGTGGTATTCTTGTTCTTTGAGTCCTGCACTGCTAGTGGGTTTGTCCTTGAAATATGCCAGCTAGTTCACGGATTAAATCCCCCTCAGCAGTCTGTAGCAACAGGGGGAAAAGCCTCTACAAAGTTTTATAAACTGCTCCAGGTGGGAGCTACCTGCAATAACCCTCCCTGTAATGTGAGGCTTCTCCTCTGGTTGAAAAGTAGAGTATACTATCCCTCCCAGGAGCTGAGATAGGACTCTGAGGCCTTCCCTTACAAGATGAGGAGATGTTTACCATATACTAATTTCCACATGCAATGGAAACCTACTGTGGACAGTGGATTTTGTGGCACCCCCACCCAAGCTAAGTGAGAGAAACACTCAGAGCAAGCTTAGAGCTCAGCTGCATGTTGCCTTATCTATGCTGCAGTGTTCCCAGGTCTTTAGCTAAACTGGATCTTCAAAGACCGTGTATCTTTTGAGGAGTTTGATGACTGTCACAGAGACTGGGAGCAGTTATTCCAGGACAGTGCATGACCTGTGAATTTAACAAGACTTCAGTATCCCACTTTGTCACTAGATGACAGGCTCTTCCAGGCATTGGTAAAATGTTACCAAAAGGACCAGTACACTGAACTTCCAATCTTTGCTGGGCCAAATGAGCTCCTCTTCTTGAGAGGGAGGGTTAGTATGTGCAGCCTGATTCATCTTTAATTTTTACTCCACTCCCTTCAGGATTTTGCCAGGCTGGAAATGTCTTTTATTTTTAATAGTCTTCAGCTGTCTTACTCCTCCCTCCAGCTCTGCCTGCTCTCATGTTCTTAATCCTTGTGGCTCATACTTAAGTAGCAAGTGAGTGGTCTTTGAAGTTTCAAAGTCTCTTCCTCTCACTGAATTTAAATATTTACAGGCCCTTTGTGATAAAGGATTTGAATACTAGACATGCACCCCATCACTTCTGGCCTGTGAGACAAAACAGATTTCTTGTAAAGATGGGCCTGGACCTAGGGCCCAGCACTGAATGTCTATGCCAGTGATTCTCAACCATGGTACACTGAGATCCTTTCAAGTGTGTCGTGGGGCTCAATGTTAGCACTGTTAGGTATGCAGCCATGAGTTACAAGATAAACCCAGAGATTTCAAGTAGAAATCCAAACATGCTGACCTGCGGTGGTCTTCCAGAGTACTTTACAACATAAGAACTGCTCTTTCTGCAGTCAGAAACTGAGTGAAAACTAAAACTTGGCATTTCCAAGTGGTGCCGCAAATCTAAAAAGGTTGAGAACCACTGGTCTATGCACTTGGTAGGTGTTTGACATCTAACCCTCGCTCCTCTTTGGTCACATCTTTATAACAGGCTGAACCAAAATCCCGTGGAGTGCACAAGCTCTAGCCAACCTCAGGGAATTCACTTCTGAATCTTGCAGTGAATCAGTCCATCAGTCCATCATAAATTGCTCACCCTTACCTCTTAGAGACATGGCAGCTGTACTCATCTTCTGTTCTATTTCATGTTCCCCTGGCAGGGGATGGACTCAAGGACCTAACCTTACCTTTCCAGCTCTAGGTTACAATGACCCTTTCACTTGTTTTGCCCTTCTACTCTCCCTTGTGGGGTTAATTCCCTTTCCTACCCTCCCTGTCTCCCATTCACTACCAGTTTGCCTCCCAGCTCTGTGCTCATTGCTGCTCAGAGGGTTTTAAAGGATTTTGAATCGAGAGGACTAGCTACTATTTTGCTGACAATATGAGGTTGAGAATATGGATGGTTAGGAGCCTTGCCTGCCCTCTCAAGAAAGCCCTCCTTGGCAGTAGGCTAGCCCATCTCTTTGAGGGTTGTGGGGTATGGCCTTTCTGGGAATCTTAGGCATAGTTTCTGCCTGTGTTGCAAGACAGTGGTAGGAATCTATGATGCTATGACCAGTTCACTCCTGGTTCAGTCCACACTATAATTTGCACTGAGTCACATTTTCAGTCCTGCGCTGATTTGAAATCAGGCAAAACAACTTGGCTCAACAGTGTGTTAAGCATTTCCATGTGGTTTCTGGCCAGGTTTCAACTGAAGAATGTACTGGTCTTTAGCATAGAGTTTGCTGGATTCCCTGAATCATGAAAATGTTGGTAATAGTTTTGAGAGGCTCCTCATGGATTGTGGACAATGTTATACAATACGCTTTGGCAACAAAGTAAAAAAAAGGAGCATAAGAAATTATTGCCCTGAACAACACTGCTCATGGGTCAATGGTGACAACAACTGAGAGAGCATCTGATGCTTAATGGATGCACGAATGTTGTGTTGGTTGTATACCAGTTGCCTTGGATACTAACAGGAAGCACATTCTAGTGATTTTCCAGAAGGGAATGCCAAGGGTGGGAGCATGGCTTGGAGGGGAAGTGAAGTCCCAGGCTCAGCTGGCTAGTGAGCAAATGTACCTGCTTTAACCTAAAGGTTTGGTGTTTTTTCCCAAAGAGTGAGCAGCAGGTTAGATTGCAGTGTTGGTCATGTAGGCCACAAAGGGTTAGCATCGCCATACATTTTTTCCAGAACAAACGGCAACAGATGCTAGTGATGTTATTTACTGCAGTACTAAATACATAGATTGCAGTCATGAGGGCCCTGTGAGAGCCCATGGGAAAGAGCACAAATTTTTAGTTAGGTTCATCATTATTCTTTGCCTTTCAACAGTAGTAGATACAGAAAACATCCAACACATGGGCAATGTTTTCATAGTAACTACTTTTGTTCTTTCGAGACTAGTTCAGTTGTCCCCTTTTCTCTCTCTGTGACCCCTGTACTAGTGTCAGGTTATTCATATCTGTGTATTTCTCTCTCTTCCCCTGGAGAGAAAGAACCCAATACATGCTGTATTCCCCTTCAATGTAATAAATAATAAATTCAGTGAATATCTTTGAACATCAGCTGCTCAATGCCATAAGAGGTTTTCAGGAAGATGCGGCTAGTCTTAGAAACCTTAAATGCTTCAAATAAGGGTAAAGCCCCAAACCTTAGCCTGATTTTCAAAGTTTCTATGCATCTGTTGTCCTTGTCCTCCATGGGAGTTGTGACTGTTCAGCACCTCTGACCACTGGGCCACTAATTTATTTCACACACTTAATGAAGAGGGGGCAGGGGTGCAGGAGGAATATCTTATTCTATAATGTTTCTAGGTGAAAATTGCAGGGGTTAGGTATTGTGACAGGGGAAGGAAAGATCATTTACTTATGCAGAGGAATAGAAGAAAAAAAATGCTTCAACACATCACCACGGCACCGGACTGTTTTATAAAAACTCCAGTTTAATCTCTTGGATGAGACCTGGAAAAACTCTCTTTAAAAAAAAAAAAAAAAGCAGTAACGCACAAATCAGGCAGCCCACCTGGACACAATGCTTAACAAGAACACCATCCAGCAGGAGTACCAGAAGAAATAAGTGACAGCAAGTGAGCCTGTCCCTTCATAGTGTCTGATTTCCAACCATCTGCTTTGCATGAATCCAGTTCACTGAAGGGGGTGCAGTAGGCTTCAACTTTATTTTTTCTTGGTGTCTGCACTTACCATTCAGCCCTAAAGCAGAACCTGGCTACTCGGTTCCTTCTCCTTCCTCAGTACTGTCCCACTTAGCCACCAGCTGAAGTTGCTACACTGGTAAATGCACCAGGCTCCATTCCCCCTGAGTAGTTGAAGTGGGAGCAAGTTGTGACTACAAAGAACATGGGTGACCCCCTAGCCTAGCCAAGTCCCCTGTAGGTTTACTCCGGGGAGCATTAAGTGGTGAGGCTGAAACTCCAACAGGTCTCGAAGGAGTAGGGGACAAGGGCATGAGGCGGTTTTAGTCACACAATATTGGGGCTCACTGGTCTGGTCAGTGCTTGTTGAGTCCCCAGTCCTGTTCTCACTGGTATCAGTGGGAGTGTCACTACTGACTTCAAGAGAGAGGAGATCAGGCCCCTACTGCCCCACAGCCATTCAGCAGATCTAACGAGCTTCTCCTTCCTGGGGAACAGGTCATTCCATTTCATGCTCTCAGAGGCAGAGACGTTTTAATGGACAACATTTCTAAACATTGGCCGAGGTTCACAGAAGTAATAGATGCTGTTTAGACAATTCCTTCACTTTTAATTACACTTTTATATATATATATATATATATATATTTATATATAACTGCTCTTTTATATAAATATATATATATATATATATATCAATTTAACACAAGAGTCATCAGCACTGGCATTTTAATAACCAAAGAGAGGAAAGATTGAAAGCTTTTGATTGCCCCTTCTGGATTCTGGCTGAAGGGAATCATTGCAGGCTTTGCTGATATTGTGTCTTGCAGATCTAAGCTCCTGTGAAGCCTTCCTGTGCTGAACTGCTGCCTCAGAAAAGCACTTTACTCCTTGCTCAGTGATCAAGTGGGATAGATAGTCTATGTCAACATATTTGCTAGTGTAACATATAGTCCTGCTCCCTAATTATTTTCAGCAATGACAACACCCTCTAGTTCCACATTCACCAGCACCCTTCCCATCCTACCAGGTGTCTCCTATACCCAACAACACCCCTACCCATCAGATAGGTGTCTCACACAAGCACCCCACCCATCCAGCCAGAGGTTTCCTATACCTGCCAAGAATTTCTTCATCCAGCTAAGTAATTTCTCATGTCAACACCCCTGTATTTAATAGGATTTGCATGCATCTAAGTTACTTCTCTGGGTTATGCTTCTAGATCTTATAAGCAACAGAGGTTTGCCCTACTATGTCAGGACTGAGAACATCAGGTCTGCAAACCCTAGAAAAGATCCTAAAACTCTTCTCAGGAGGGTGAGAACTATACTCATTTCAAACTCTGAGTAGTTTTTGCAGTCATGTGGTCTGCAAGTGTTTAGATCCAACCCTAAGATCTTGGAAAGCCATTTCCAAGCATTAAGAATAGGCAGTAAGTCCATCTCTCATATATCTATTCTGTTACAGTACCTTGCAGAAACTCCCACAATCCCCAGATTTGAAGAGCCATGCTTGAAACCATGGATTTGATATCCCCAGTGCACTGCTGCTATGTGTGCAGGATATGTTGTATACGGAGATGGGGCAGAAGTGCACCAAAAAAGGGGTGGCTGGTATGAATACACTGCATCATTGCAGCTTGCCATAATTCAATTAGAACAGTATGGCTCTAGCATAAATGTGGTTCTACTGACTGCACATAACTAACTATAGCAGAAACAGGTTTGACACTGAATCTCACTTTCAAGTGCCGTGAACTCTGGAGAAGTTTGTCTCCAGAGCTGAACCTGGTACCTTGGGGCCCACATCTCCAGGGAGCTGAGCTGGAACACTTGATCCAAATACTCCCACTTTTGCAAAACTTGAGGTCCCAAGCCCAACTTTATGATGATAAACAGGGCAATTTCTGTTGTTCTACAAGAGATGTCCCTATATGCAGGGCATCTTGCTGGGTGCATCATCTAAAGTTCAGAACAGAAATTTTAAGTAAATAGGGGTCCAAGCTGCAAAATAGATATAATTATTTTAAAGGGACCCCGTTAAGATTATATATATTATACATACTACCCTTCCTTCAGTTTTTAGTCTCAGAGATTTCATTATATCAAAAAATTAGAGCATTTCAGGAGTCAACCTTTCATCACTTCAGTGTCTTTTTGACATTTCACTTTTTGAAACTCATTTATCTATTCCTACTCTCCCTTCACAGTTTCTCACACACACTGCAACATCTGCTCATTGAAACTGAAACACTTTAGAACCATTTATATTCACATTATGTTTGCAAAAAAGTTTTGCAGTAAACTGTTAAATGCTGTGCCTACCCAAGCCTCACCACTTCCCTTTCACTGTATGACCATGACTAAGAATCCAGGCCTCTCACAAAGAGCTGGATGAGGGCCCTTGGCTCCCAGGCAAATTAAACAAACAGCAGAATTATGTTAAAAGAAAGTTGAAGAGACAAGCTTTGCTGCTTGCTTTGGGAGACTGCAGATAGTCAAGGTACAAGATGCAATCATGGTCAGGGGGGAGTCCCATGCTCAAGGCAGGCTGCTGCACTGCTTTCTTATGTTAAACAGCTGCTGAGGTCAACAGAGGAACATAAATCTAAGCAAGTTTCTAGGTTTTTTCTAGGCTAATTTGGCATCTAGAACTAGTTCTCCTCTGCCTTGATTTACATAATCTTTCATACCTGCCCTTTGAAATTAGTGGGAGTTAGTTAGCTCTCTAAATACCTTCATGAATCTAGAGCTTAGAGTCCTGATAATACCAAGTAAGTGGCAATTTCTTGCACAGACCTCACCTGCTAACCAGCAACAGCTACAGTTGAAACACCAACAATGGACATTCCTTTAAATAAAAATCTAAACACAGGATCTAGTGATTACACGTTTGTGCCAGTGTAACTTACCTCAGTTTTTTACATCAATGTAAACTACACCTGGATCCAGGGCTGACAGATATTACTCTCCCAGAATAGCTGTATATGGCTTGCCTGGAGCAAACTGCTCTTCTGGAATAAGGTGTGGACACACAAAGTACTATGATGTAGTCCTACCTGTAATTATTTTCAGGATAATTCTACACCAGGCTTAAGTGAATTACTGGTATAGAGCTCTACGTTAAGTGTTTGCTCTACTTTTGTCACACCAGCATCCAAACCGATTACACCAGTGTAAACGTGTTGTGAGTCCAAGCCCACAGCCAACTGGAGATTTCTCCTGATCATCGCTTGTAGTGGGAATCCTAGTCCTGCCCTTCTAGCTGCTTAGTTCCTATTCAAACTGCAGCACATGCTAAGTATCAGGTAGATTCTGAGCTCTACAGATGTAATTGCTAGGACCATGTCATGTTGGTGGTAGCACTGGTATGTGTCTCTGTGCTACAGTATCACTAGTGGTCTTCAAATACAGAGACACCATGGACTGCATGGGGCTATACAACAGTCTACAGTCATACACTAATCAACAGCTGAGTCTGTGGTTAATTTAGAGTTAGAAGGTTTATAATGGAAGCCACTGGCAGCTTTTCTCTATATGAATACATAGTTGCTAGCAATGATAACAGCCTTCCCAGGCATGAGCTTAATTAAAACGGAATTCCCCTTCCTTTCCACTCAGGATATGGTTTATGGTCTGCTCTGTGCACCTGCAAATCATCCTTTTTGCATTGTTCCTCGCTGGTCTGAAGATGCCTGTTGGCCAGGTAAGTGGGAGTAAGGCAGGCAGTCAGTAGAGCTGAGCTACAGTCTTGTGAAAGATGGAAGGAGCAAGAAGCCAATGGCCCAAGTCATGCCACTTGGCAGAAGTGGGAGGCCACCAGCTGGATAAGCACAAATCAGGAGATGGGTAGGCCAAGACCAAGGACATGCTGGTTAGATGCTCTCATATTTGTCAAGCAGGTGGGTTGCTATGCAACTGGAGGTGGACAAGATGGCTACAGGTGAACTAGTGGCTGGGGAGAATTGTGGGCTCATAAACTGGCCTTACAGGATAACAAAAAGTTGATCCTGGTTTTCCTTTTGACCCAAAATGTCACTTCTACCACCATCAGCCAGAGTAGCCACCACCACCCTGTAACCAGAGAACCAGCCACAAGCAACCTCCAACCAAATTTTACCACAGGTGGTATTATCTGTGATACAACCAGGCATGCACAGATCAGTAGGTTAAAAGGGAAGTTGGACTTCTCCTATCCAGCTACATTCCTTCCAGCCTTTGTCTGTTCTGGTGGGGGTGTACATCTATCTTGCAAGACTACAGCTAGAGGCAGTGCCTTCCATGTGGAGTATTGGTACACGAGGGCTCTCTGGAGTAACTCACATCCAACATGATCTTCACAAGTGAGTTTTGCCTTCCTACCTTCAGGTACCACCAGCTTCCTCTGCAGTTTGCCTAGAGACTCATAGCGTTGAGAGGGATCTCAAGGATTATCTTGTCCCATCCCACCCAGAACAGGTCAGCAAAGCTGGATGTGCAATTGGTCCTTCATTAGGAAGGGAAAAGGATGTCCCTGCTGGATCTTACCTCCTTGTCCTCAAGTCCACTGGAACACAGCAAGTTTTTTTCCAGACAGAGGGCAAGGTTTTCAGACAGTCCATGTTAGAAAATAAGACAGAGGAAAGACAAATTCCTTGGGATAAAGCAGATAATATGGGGTCGGGAGAAGTGGGGAGGGCCAGAAGCAAAAGGAAGACAGAGAGAACATGAACCTCAGTAGCAAAATGCTCTATAGGAGACAAAAAAGGGTGGGGGGATTTGTGTCCTCCTTGCATAGAATATTTATAACAATAACAACAGCAACAAATAGATGCTCCTGTCTCATCCACCAGGGAAGAGGAGAGGAGGGGAAATGCCTTTATTCAATCTGCCTCCCACTTCTCCCATCTAGAATCACTGACCTCCTCTGGGGCTGATAAAAGCAGCTGGTGGAGGTCTCCAGTCTTTGGCCATTCTTGGGGATGGTCATTTTGTTCCTCAGAGTGACCCCCTCAGGCGTTGTCTGCGGAGTCCCAGACAGATCGCCACAAATGGGGGTGGGAGAGGTGGTCTGAGAGGGGCTTCTTATGGGTGATAACAACACCCTGGAGTCTGTGGAGGAAGAGGGGTGGTCCATGATGGGGAAAGGGGGGCTGAAGAGAATAAGGCTCTGTGGCCTTCCCGGCCTGGATCTGTAGGAAGGCTTGGAGAATCCTGACGGCCTCTCCATTTTTGAGGACTGGGGGTTGTCCGCAGAGGTCTCCCCCTCTGAGGTGCGCTTCCGACGCAGCACAGGGGCATCCTGGCTGGAAGTATTATTAGAGTGAGACAGGTCTGGAGGAGGGTTGAGGCCACTCTGGCTGGAAGGGGTTGAATCCATTTCAGTGGGGGTACTGTTTTCTTTCTCCTCTTTGGCTTTCTTCTCTGCCCGTGGGCTCTTTGGAGGCTCAGGGTGACTCCAAGCTGCCCTGTGAGTCTGCTTAGTGGCTGAACTTGCTTCTGTTTCCTTCTTCTCTGGTGCTGGAGAGGCATCCTCATCAGCCTTCTGAGGCTGCAATGGCTGTGGGATCTGTGTATACTGAATCTTGGGCGGTATCACCGGCACTGCTCTGGCCTGGCACATCTTGACCATAAAGGAGGTCCTCACCGCTGACACACTCACAGGGGCAGAGTTACGGCGGCCTGTGGTGGCATGGGTCACAGTCATGTAATCTAGGTCTAGGTCTCTGCAAGCCTCAAAGCGAGATCCCCAGTAGTCAGCTGTGTTCCCAGCAGGCCAAGCAACAGGCAGCGATGGGACAGAATCACTGCCCTTCATTTCCTTCTGCCCACACAGGATGTTTCCAGGTGAAGTGGGCATGACCAGGCCCTCAAACTTGAAGAAATCTGGGGCTGAAAGGAAAGAATCCAGGTTGAGAGATGACGGCCTGGTTCTCATTTTACGGGGAGTGTCTTCACTTTTGTTGCTACCTAGCTGTGACTCACTGGCAGAACACAGTCCTTTGGGCAGGGACGCTTCACTGAGCATGACCTCTTGAAGCTTGGGTGGGTCTTCATCTGTGTTCTTTGGCTGTAAGGAATTGTCTGGGTTATTATGGTGTGACAAAGACAGCTCTGGCTTCAAGCCCAGAGGGTTAGCTTTGCTCCTATGCACTTCTTTCTGCTCTGGCTCTGAAAGAGAGACCATAACCTGTCCCTCCAGCCTGGCAGGCAGTGCCTCTGGAGGACTCAGATAGCTCTCATCTTGCTCGACTTTGCTTGGGCCACACGGTGAGACTGACACCTTCCCAGCCCTGAGTAAAAGATTGTCACAGGGGGGCTTTTCAGCTGCATTTGTGGAAGGTGGCTGGACAATCCACAGACTCATCACCGTGTCTTTACTATCCAGGGAAAGGCTACGGCTGAATCGTGGCCGAGTGGCAAGGCTCCCCTCTGCTCCGTGACTTGGCGGCTGAAAGTCTGGCATCCCCTTTTCTTGGATGTCCTTGAAAGTGGGGGAGTGGAGTGGGCTGGTCACCCACTGGTGATCCTCCCAAGGCTCTACCAGCTCCAAGCCCTGCACGTTGTCTGTCCATGCCTCCTCTTCCTCTTGGTCAAATGTCTCTTGGGCTTTGTTGGCTACATTGTCCTCTAAGGGATGTGGGACTCTGACTCCATTTTGCATCTTTGACAGGAACACACTGCCTACACCTGAAGCCATTTTGCCAACCTTCTCCCTTTTGGCCTGGGCTCTGTCCTGTCCTATAGGGATGCCACCCTTTTCCCTCAGTGGCAGGCTACTGCTGCCTTTTCTCTTCTCTGAGTCCAAACAGGCCCCTTTAGGGCCAGAGAGTTCATCTCTGGAAAGAACCTCCTCAAGCCCTTGCTCTCCATGAAGCTTCAAGTCTTGGGGAGGGGCATGAAGAGCACTTGCGAGGCCCTCCACTTTTGGGTGGTTGTTTGGGGCAGCAGTCCCACAGGGCACAGCGCCTGGCCTGGGTACGGCAGCATCCCTGTCAGGCTGTGCAGCCTGTTCAGATTGAAAACTCTGGAGGCCACTGGATCCATCTTTGGAGGGGACACCACATAACGGACCTTGAGATGTGATGCATGAGGTTCTGACTATAGTTCCTAGTTCGGACAGGCCTGGGGCCACCACTGAGCCACAGGAGAAACTATTTGTTTGCGGTGAGGCAGCAGACTCACTCCCGAGTGTTAACACTTGCTGGGGTTGGCCTGCCTCTGGGGCCGCTGTGGGGAAGGACGAGAGCTCCTCTTCAGGCTCAATAATTTTGAGCTCCTGTTGAATCTCTGGCCATAGGGGTTCCAGTAGGGCATTGGCAGCATCATCTTCAGCCTGAAACACACCAGAAATGTCACTATCTAGTAAGCTATCACCTTATCAGTGCATGCCCCACTCCCAACTGCCCAGTATGCTGCCTACAGCCACCCTCTTGGAATCCAGTCAGACAAGTGGGAACCTCAGCACACACACACACACACACGCATCCCACCACCAGCACCAGAAGTTTGGCAAAGTAAGTATGATTACACACAAGCAGCTTTACAGGAGAGATCATCAGAGGGTAGGGCTAGAAATCAAGACAGGAAACAAGTTCAGTAAGTGAGTTAACTGAGAAACAACAGACGGTTCCTCAGGCACTCCTCCAACCTGCCCCCTTAAACACAACTGCTTGCCTCGGCAAGCTGTGCTACACTCCCCATTAAATAAATGTTGACAAATGCGATGTCATGCATATGGGAAAGAATCATCTGAACTGCTCCCACACGTCACCAGATTCTAAATTCACTGGAGCCATTCAGAGCTGAAGGTCATTTGGGGTAGCTTTCTGGAAACTTATGTGCACCTGGCAGCAGTGGCCAAGGGAATTAATCAAGAGGTGAAAGGAAAGGAATAGTGAGTGTTTCTGAGAGGGTAAGAATGCAAACAGCAGGACAGCAGAAAAAGGAATTCAGAGATGGAGGATCAATGTGGCCAGCCACCTAGAGGAGCTTCCAGAGGAAGAACAACTGTATCCACTGAGGCAGTACAGTGAAGAGAGGATTAAGAGGAGAGAGAAGTGCAAGCAGGGAAAGTAAACCAGCCTCTGGCCATGTCTACCCCTGCTTAGTGCATATGCATGAAGCTGTCTATCTGCAGACATGCTAGGAAGCTCCCTAGCCTTGTCTGCAACCCACAAAGAACAGATATGTTTCAGACTACCCCAGTAAGAAGGCATCATATCCATCACCCTCTAGGAACATCCCTCAACCCCTCTTCATGGGTTCCTCCTTACCAGTTCTCTGAGAAACAAGGCCTCCACCTCTTTAGCCCTTGAGATCTCCTGCTGCCAGCTGTCCCTTTCTGATAGGCCTTCCTTCATCCTGACCTGGCTGTGCATGGACTGCTCTGCTGGGCACAGGCCTGCTGGGGTCTCTGATGCTGATGCCTGAGCCAGGTTGGCATCATGTACTGGGCTTTTCTTGATGCCACTGTTGTTCCTGCCACCCACTGGCTCCTGGTTTTCTGCTATTGGTTTGGGGGTTTCTAAAGGTACAGGCTTTCTGGCTGCTGACAGTTTCTCAATGGAAGAACCTGGATTGGAGACACAGATGAATTCCATGAACCTCTCACAGTCTGGTGCATGTGCCTGCCACAGAGTGCAGCAGTAATGCTGGTGTCTAGATTCAACCCATTATAGCTGATATAGGCCAATGTCCTTTACCATATGATTTTTGAGTGCCAGCTGGCTCAGTCATGACACTGCTGGGAGGAAGTTTACACTGAGGCTGCACTGGAAGTACTGGGGGCACCCACCCACTCCAACCACCCACTACGTGCCATTTGGGCCCATGAGCTTCTCCCCACCCACAGTCCACCATTGGGAGCCATGGGTCTCTTCACTGCCATGCTGACTGCACTGGCTGGAAGAGTCCTCATGCAGTGGATTCCCTGCAATGGAGCAATTTCTCAGCCCCGCGTAGGTTTTGCTTAGCAAACTGGCTGCTGCTCCCAGCTTTACCTGCTGCAGTCTCATCCCCAGGTGCCTTCTCCTCCCTGCCTGTGGCCTGCTCAGGCCTGGCATGGCTTTCCTCTTCTTGTGCAGTGGGGGTGGAGCCATCTGCCCCCAAGGGACACAGTTCTTCCAAGCTGGAAAGGACTGGCTTGTCCTTGGCAGGGATGCGGCATGGGGTGCTGTTGGTGCTGATGACTGCAGACACCCGGAGGGGCACAGAGACAGCAAAGGGCTCTGAGATGGTCAGGGCTTTCCTTTGGTGCCGAGGGGAGGCCTCCAGAGGGAAGAGGTTGCTGGGGAAGCCTGACTTGGCGGCCGCCTCTGAGGTGTAGAACATGCGGCACATCTTCGGGGAGGTCTGCTCATTCTCAGGGTCCTCCGCAGCCCGGAATACCTTCAGCTGCTCGGGGGGCGGCCGAGCCTGAGAGGTCCTGGGGGAGGCTTTGTCCCCACTGTGCTCTGAACCTCCCATGGCTCCTGTGATGGTCCCTTCATGGTTCCACTCATTCTCCTTGCTGAGGTCGTATGAGCTTCCCGTGCCCCCTGTCCGCACCTTCATCACTGGAATGAAGAATCCTCCAGCAGCCACTGTGCGTTTGAACCGGCTCTTCTCATCCTCCCCTGGGGGGAGAGGAGGAACAAGATGATCAGCAAAGGAGCGCTTATGGCAATCACTGCCCTCAGGGAAACCCTCCTCAGTAGACCCTGGAGCAAGAAGCTCCACCAGACTCCCACAGCTCTCCAGAATCCCTGGTAGAGGGAAGTGGACAGGATTCACTTTCAGCTTACCCAGGACAGGAACTAGAGCCAGACAGGGTCCCCTCTCAAAGCAATTATCTGGGATTTTTCACTCAATTATCCCTGCCAGACACCCTGTCAGGGTCTTTGCTGGCTGGCTACAGGGAAATTATACAGCCATGTCCTCTTTCTAGTTTGCCTTCCCACAAACAGGGACCTGGTGCCCACCAAGAACCAAATTATGCCAATTGTGTCAGTAACAAACATCCATCCAGGCCCATATTCATGTCCAGGTGCATATGGCAACCTACAAACACACAGGGGACAAGAGTGCATGGCCATGGAGGGACAGGAGAGGCAGGCAAAGACACACGGGCACAGAGATAAGTGAACACAGACCTGTAAGTCGGCGACCACCCATGGAAACACAAACACTGGCCAACATGCCTGCAGACACATGAGACAACTAAGAAAACACAGGCCTGGCCCTTAGCTGTGGGGCTAAAGTGCACAGACTACCAGCATCTTACCTTCCACAGGCAGGGAGCACAGCGAGTCCATGCTTTTAGCAGGTCGAATTGTTGCTTTCTCTGTGGAAATCAATTTTAGAAATCTATTTCAGAGCCTGGGGACTCTCAGTTCACAGCCTAACTGCAAAACACACTATCATTACAGCCTCTGATCAAAGTGCAGGGCTAACACCAGGAAAAAGCACAGAGGCCCAGGTCCATCAAGGCATTTAGATCCCTTATGCCCATGGAAATCAACACCAAAATACCTTTGAGGATCTGGGGTTTCATGCCCTGGTGTTTAAAGCAAGCAGCCTGGTCTCTCACAGTGCTGACCTTTAGGATAGCACTTGGTACAGGATGAACCCTGGTCTCCCAGGTTTGGGAGAGGTAAGATCCAGACTGAAAAATGTAGCTTTGGGGATGAAGCTTGTTTAAAATATTTCTTATTATGACAGAATGGTCCTGTGGTTAAAGCATTACCAAAGGCTATCTTACAATCTCCTGCAGGTTTCCTGCCTGTGCCTGTAGACAGCTTGTGCAAGTTGTACCAGATGGAAGTGAAAATGTAGCTGTAAGCTTCAGTCAGGACCATCCTTGTGGCCAAGCAGATGTGGACTAGGGTTCAAGCTAATTTCTACTCTGTGGACCATGCCAACTGAACAAACCATAGGGAATGTTGCCAACTTCAGCAATTTTATAGCTAACCTTGTTCTATTCATTTTAAAGTCCAAACTCCTGAATTCATGAGATTATGCAAGCCCACTTCTTTTTCTTTTTTTAAGAACTAAATGAATTTCTGGTCCTGATGATTGTAGAGAAGGCCTAAAACACACAACTTCTAAATCCTCCAGCACCAGAAGGCTAATTTAAAGAGTGCAAAATGTATTATTAAAAAAAACCTCCCCGTGTTGCCTAACCCAATCTCCTGATTTTTAGAACCAGGCTCATGATTTTTTAATGCATTGAGTTAGCAACACTGAATATGCTGCTTGGCAGCAGTACACCATTTAAGATGGCAGTGTTGGGGGATCCACAGTTTAGGGTGTGTTGGCCATTAGGAAAGACATCTTTTTGCTTTTAAACCTAGTAGTAGATATAATAATTTCCACTGCTCCACTGAAGGGCAGAAAGCCAGGGAGCGTGGGATGCCAGTTTTCACAAAGATCCTTTTGAAAGCAGGACACTGAGCATAATTGGTTCTTTAATGGTTTCTTAGTCATGGGACATCTCCACTCGAAGTGCCATGGAGAGAGTGTTAGGAAATGGAGCCAAGCCAGGTGATGAAGGAGAACATTTCCACAAGCATGGGCCCCCACAATCTGTATCTGGGATGCTGAATTTATCTAAGTGATCCAAGGCAACAATATCTAGTCCTTCCAACCCCTGTGCATGGGCATTGAGCAATGAAGTATGTTCCTTCCAGTGCCACAATGGAGTATTCATGGGAGTTGGCTGACGTAGTCTGGCTGTGACTACATTCTTTGCAACACTAACAGAATGGCCTGTGATGCAAGGGTTCAACTATGTGACTCCATTGCTCTCTTCAGAAAAACAATCTGTATCCTAAAGCTTGTGGCATTAGCATTAAGGGATTAGATCCTTTTTCTCTGGACTCCCAACAATATTTTTATTTTTTCCCCACTTTTATATTTACCTATAAAGGCTAAACATATTGCCTAAAGACCCAGTATAAGCCAAGCTCCTTATCCACAGCTCTCCCATATGCCTCGATCCTGATGTGTCCCAATACTGCCTTTAAACCAGCCTACGGGACAGATTGGAAGAGCTGGCAGAGGGAGAGAATGAACCAAAATCCCTCATTCTCACCAGACAGCTTCTGCGCTCTCACAAAGACACTGCCATTTCGGCTCAGTTTAGGTTTTGATTCCGACCCAGACCGGCCCAGGTTAAATATTGACTTCCATTTTTTGGACTTGGTGGATAATTTTCTCCTAGAAGGAAAAACACACAGGTCAGTGATAGGTGCCTGAAGCTGAGCACGGAAGACCTCCCTGCTTGGCGTACCATGGGAATCTCTACCTTCCCTCTCCCCTCTTGCCCCCGCCTCTGCCCCCCAGTCCTCTCAGCCTCTGCCCTTCTTTAGTTCTCTGTCTCTTTTCACTTCTGGGATGGGCAAGGCATATATGACATAGGCCAAGAGGAAGAGATTTTTAAAGGGGCCCAAAGAAACTGGGCTCCTTAATCCCTGTGACCCTCAATAGGAGCTGAGCACTCATTCCCTTACTCCCTTGGAAAATCCCAGCCTGAAACTGTAGAACCCACCACCTCTGTAGCATGTTTTCCTTGATTATAGTGTAGATTTTTGTCTTTGCCTCCCTGCTAGTCTCACTCTGTTCATCCTGCATGCTGCATCAACCAACTCTCGCTCCATGCATCTCTTTGCTTCAGCAATTTGTCTTCTCTATCAGTCTGACACTCAGAAGAGGACATTAGAGAGACAGTGTCCCCTTCAAAAGACCCCTGGAGATCAGAGCAAAGCTCATTGTTGCCACACTATAGAGAAAAGGAGATGCCACCAGATGTTAAATACAAGCAAACCCCTTTTGCATTTTCCTGGGAGTAAACTGTCTCTATCATGCTCCCCAGTATTCTGGGAGCGGGATCTGTCCCACTATATAGTAAATTTATAGAAACAACTCTGATAAGAGTTTTCATGGGTCACTAGAAAAATGAGTTTCTGCTGTAATCTGAGTGTCAGGAAGTGCTTTTGGCATGCATTATTAGATTAGGTAGGTAGGTAGCAATGCCGACAGCTCCAGCAAAATTAGCTTGTGGTCAGGCTCTTTTGCTCACAGCACTGGTGCCCTGTTGTGAAAAATCACTTAATCATACAACAAGAGTGCAATTTCCCCTCAAGGCCCTGCTCTTCACAGACAGGACCAATGACTGATGAGAATAGACAGTCATGCACTAGGCAGCCACCAGCAGGTGGAGCTCCTGCAACAGATGTTTTAAGACCTGTTAGACAGTCAACCCACCCAGCCAAATTCGAAGTGGCCCCTAAGCATAAAAAGACAATCAATCCTTCCTGCACAGGCTGGCATGTTTCTGGTCTGAGGTGGGGTGGGAGCCGGAAGCCCAGTGGGGCTGTAAAATCACACTCAGAAACACTCACAAAGAGTGATTTCTCCCCTCCCCCCAAAGGGTAGGAAATACAACCTCCTCCCTCTAGGATGGTTGCCTTTCCTTCACTGGGTGGGTGGAGGGGATCACTCTACCCAGATTCTCCCTCTTGGTCTCTGTCATATTTTATCAGAAGATACGGATGTTCTCTCTGTCTGTCTCTTAGGTGGCATTTTTATTTTGTAGCCTGCTTTGGACACTTACTTGCTGTCGGGTAAGTCAACGACAGTATGGAAAAAGGATCCAGTAACTGGGACAATCTCAGGCAAGCTGTTCTCTCTTCTCTCCTTCCGGGCAGGGTGGGAAGCTGACAGACTCCGGGCCTGAGCTTCTTCAAGGCTCACCAGTTTCATGGGCAAGGAGGCTGAGGGGAGGGTAAGACTCTTCACCACTGGCATGCTCTCTGAAAAAGGAAAAGGGAAATTTCAGCCCCAGGAGGTCAGACCTGAGCTAGGACTCTCAGCTAGGTCCTTTTGGGCAGGGCATAAAACGCTTGCACAGAGATGTACTTGCCCAAGAGGACCTCTGTCTTAGGATCCCTCTCAATCATAACACAGTGCCTTCCAGCAGAGTTCGGTTTACCAGCTAAGCTCTCTATTACCCTGGGTTGCTTCTTTTACCATAGCTGCCTCACAGCAAAAGATGCACCACTTTGACCTGCTTGGATCCTTGTTCTCCCATACATCAGGGAAGACTGAACCCAGGGCTGAACTTTGTGGCTGGTCCTTCTCTCTACTACCTGTTTCATAGTAGGTAGGGTCGGAAGGGTCGGAAGGGACCTGAGCAGATCATTAAGTCTGACCCCCTGCCACGGCAGGAAAAAGTACTGGGGTCCCGGCAAGGTTTTCATCCAGCCTCCTCTTAAAGCCCCCCAGGGTAGGAGCCAGCACTACTTCTCTTGGAAGTTGGTTCCAGATCTTAGCTGCCCTGACTGTGAAGTAGCACCTCCTGATGTCTAGCCTGAATCTACCCTCTGCCAGCTTGTGACCGTTCTTTCTTGTCACTCCTGGTAGTGCTCGGGGGAACAGGGACTCCCCCAAGGCCTGCTGGTCCCCTCTGACTAGTTTGTAACAGGCCACTAGATCCCCCCTCAGCCTTCTCTTGTGAAGGCTGAACAGGTTCAGGTCCTTTAGCCTCTCCTTGTAGGGCCTGCCCTGCTGCCCCCTGATCATACGAGTGGCCCTCCTTTGGACCCTCTCCATGTTGTCCACATCCCTCCTGAAGTGCGGCGCCCAGAACTGGAGGCAGTACTCCAACTGGGGCCTGACCTGTGTCGCATAGGGGTGGAGGATCACCTCCTTGGACTTGCTTGAGATGCATCTGTGAATGCATGACAAGGTACGGTTGGCCTTCCTGACCGCGTCCCCACACTGTCAGCCCATGTTCATTTTGGCATCAATAATGACTGCGAGATCCTCTTCTGCCTCTGCGCTGACGAGAAGGGAGCTCCCCAGTCTGTAGGTATGCTGCTGGTTCTTCCCCACCACGTGCAGCACCTTGCACTTGTCAGTGTTGAGACCCATCCTGTTCTCATCCACCCACCCCTGTAACCTATCTAGGTCTGATTGCAGCCTATTCCTCCCTTCTAGCGTGCTCACTTCCCCCCACATCTTAGTGTCATCAGCACATTTGAATAGGGTGCTTTTTACCCCCTTGTCCAAGTTGCTGATGAAGATGTTGAACAGTGCGGGTCCGAGGACTGAGCCCTGGGGGACCCCACTGCCCACATCCCTCCAGGTTGAATAGGGAGTGTTTGTGACCATTGGAAATAACCCAAATATAGAATCCTTCACTCTGTGGCCCTCATTTTCTTCCAAGGGAAGAATTTTCTTCCAATGGAAAACAAGAACATGGGAACTGCACTAGCACTGGAAGAGCTGAGGTGGCTGCAGCTCAGTCTAGAGGGCTCACTGGAGCCACAGGCAAGTGGGTTCAAAGAATGGGCCCCTGCACATCAGGATTGAGGCATATGGGAGAGCTGTGAATGGGGAGCCTGGCTTATACTGGGTCTTTAGGCAATATGTTTAGCCCTTATAGGTAAATATAAAAGCGGGGAAAAAATAAATATATTGTTGGGAGTCCAGAGAAAAAGGCAAGGGGTAAGGAAGGGTATTGGTGAGAAGGATATTGGTAGGTCTAGGAGCATCTGTGGGAAGGGTTAATGTTTCAGCTGGGGGTGTCAGTAATGTCAGTGAGAGGTATTATGGTTAGTGGAGGGGGGGGGACAGGTAAGGAGGCTTAGGGTAAACTAAGGAGAGTCGATAAGAAGCTACAGTGATAAGGAACTGGTAGAAAGAGGTGCAGAGGTCTGGTGGTTCATGCATGCAGCAGCAGAAGCAGTTACCATCATTCTCCATGGAGCTGGCTTTTATGTTGTTAAAGATCTGATCCACATGGTTCAGGATGAACTCGATCACCAGCTGCTGGACTCGCACTTCCAGGAAGGCCGCATCCCCGTTGCAGCCTATTGCCTCAATCTCCTTTGATCTGAACCACGGGGTGGGAGAAGCAACCATAAATATGGTAAGACACTGTATCTCATGATTGTTTTAGCTTTCCTCTGGTGTGAATTGTGTGGTGCCCTTTCCTCCTGTGGCTTGAATGAGAATTTTTTACCTTCTGTTGCTGTGTCTTCTGCACCTTTTCTCTTATGGTATCTTTCCATTCCTTTCATTCCTCCTTTACCTTTCCATTCCTTCTTTATTCCCTCCATGTTTCATCCATCATCTCTACCTTTTCATTCCCTCTCTGGGCTGTTTTCTAAACTCCATTTTTTAGTTTCACCTGGTTTCCTTCCACAGAAGGTTTTTTTCCCCTCCTGTTTCCATCTACATGTCCTTCTCTTTTCACCTTCTCATTGTCCCCTTTCTGTTAGAGATGGGCCCGGACCACAACACTGGATAGCAGAATCCCTTCAAACTCTCACGACCCAGACAGGAGCTTTGTGGTTTGAACTTAACTCCATAAGATGGATATGAACCAAAACCAACAGATCAAATTTGAGGGGAGATTCTGTCTGAACCTTGTGAGTTGGCTTCAGCTCTCCTTTCTCATGTTAATTTTTTTTATGCCTGCCTCTATATCCCTCCCCTTGCTCCCCCTCCTACGCTCTTACCTTCTCTCCTCTCTTTCAGCAGAGAAGCATTTCTTATCTTGACATGTCAAAGTGTTACTGAAGAAATTACCTCTGGGCAATGGACCCTTTGTAAAGTTAATGACTGGTGTATTAGATAACAGCTTGAGGCCTTGCCAAGAGGATAACCATGTAAGGAGACTGTAGTTCCATCGCCTGCCTCTTTCTTATCCTCCTTGGGATTTGCACTTACAATCGATTGCAAAAGGAAACAGACTTCAAGTTGTTTGACAAGAAGGACAGTAGCTGGAATGGAAATATCTGAGTGCTAAATGCCCAGTTTGTGATGCTCAATAGTTTCGACATTTGATCCACTCACAGGACAGTTTCTGCCCTGCTTGCAATTTAAGAATGAGTTAGTTATTCAAGGAACTGCTTGTACTCTTAGACATCTACCCATCTTTGCCAATGCAGCTCACACCAGACCTACAGGCACATGCATTTCCCACTATTATTCCAGTTCTGGGCTCCCCAAACAGCTCCGCCAGTGCCCTTTAATCCTTCCCTGCAGTACCCTCAGCTAATCTAGTCCTGGACTCTACACAGGTCTTCCAGTATTTTGTTCTCAAATAAAAGTGCCAAAAAATTCAAATTTCAACAAAATAAAAATAGGTTAAGTATTTCATCATTTTTCCCCCAGAACATTTTTTTTGTCATGATATGACCCACCCTGCAGTCCACCTGCAGAAACTCTTGTAGTTACATTTCTGGGACTGTTTGCAGAGTTTACCATATACAGAGGACAAAAAACTGCTTGGTAGTCTTGTGATCCTGGCAATGGTCCCCAAGCTGCTATCTTCCAGCCCTCAGCCTCGTTTCACTTGTGACCACAGCAGATTTGGATTAAAGTCTTCAATACTCTGCTTCACCTCACTGCCCTAGAATCCCCTATTCCCTAGCTACAATCTCTCTCTCAACTCTATCCCATCCCACTCAAGCAGTAACATTCCTAAAAAGTTGCCTTTGTTCCATAATGGTGAATAAACTCCTTACTTTGAAATGAACTCTGTCACCTTACAAATAAGGCACTGTTTAAAAACCAACAATTTCCCTCCCCTGGAAGCTCAGGAGTAAATCCTCAGATTGTTTAACTAGAGTGATTTTTTAAATCGTCTTTACTTTGCCCCATGATTTAGTGTTGCTGCATTAGTGGAACCAATCTGAGAGCCTGCCTGCAAGTGCTCGTCCAGCATTACAGCAGGGCCCTGGGAAGGAAATGGAAAAAAGTCCTGTAGTACCTGAGGAGATTAGGAGCCCACACTAGTGCCAGGTTTCTGGTGTGCATGTTCGTCATGTTGCTGAAGGAAGCCAGGTGAGTCAGGTGCTTGATCAGGTATTCCAGTGTCCTGCAAGGGTTTGGAGAAAGAAAAAGGGCTTCAGCCCTTCTGCATGTGACCATGTCTCCAGTTACCAGTGGAAGATGTAGCAACTTGTTAATTAAGAATAGCTAACAGAATTCCACTCTGGCTCAAGCCTGCGTTTTGGTGCAGAAGATCCTGATTTCATCCCTATATGGCTGCAGTTTGTGTAAATGGAAAACCAGCCAGGTGGGGTAGTAGAAAGCCAGTGCAGCTATTTTAGACCTCTGGGTTTCACTTGTGAATCATGTTTGCACACCAAAGGGAAATAACGTTGTGTGGTACCCTGAGGATTTCAAGGAACTCCAGGGTCCTGTATTCACCAGCTAAGAATAACTCCCTTACAACCCCAGAGGCTGAACTCTTACCTGTAGTGTGATGGTGGGAGCTCCTGGATGACATTTTGGATTTGGGCCAGTTGCTGGTCTTCTGGGAAGCGTGATACTGCCTCCTGGGGAGGAATAAATTATTTGTTCATTTATTTTTTTATTTGATTCATGTGCTACCCTTCCCAAAAAGGGCTCAGGGAAGCTTGCAATAAAAGACAAACAAACTGTGTTGTTTTGTTGGGTGTTCAGACTATGGAATAAACTCCCTCTGGTGGTGGTGCAGTCACCTACCCTGGAAATCTTCAAAAGGAGACTGGACCGTCACCTTGCTGGGGTCACTTGATCCCAGTTGTCTTTTCCTGCCTAGTGTAGGGAGATTGGACCCCATGATCTACAAGGTCCCTTCCAGCCCCTTACAATCTATGAATCTATTAAACTTATAAAAAAAAGAATGAAATATTAAAATAAGTATCCAAAAAGCTGTCCCAAAAAATTCAAAAGCAATCTGCCCTGCCCTGCCCACCCTCTCTGATCGCTGGCCTCTGACTTAGGCAAGCATTCCCCTTGGCCAACCCAACCTCACTTCCTAAGTACAGTCACTACTTCCATAAAAGAAAAGAGCATTTCTCCCTCTCCTCCATGTTCCCTCCCATCCCTACTCCCTTCCACTTCCCTGCCTCATGTCTAGGGAAATCCCTCCCAAGCCCATACCTTTCTCTCCCAAGGCAGGCCATTACTGTCCCCAAAACCAATGCACTCTTCTTTTTCTCTCCTTTTCCCCATAGAAACACCTTAGTCAATTAAAGATAAGTAACAACCAATACAATACAAGCCATCACCCATCCCAAGCCAGCCTGGAGTCCTGCAGGCTGTCTAGGTCTGTTCTTCTTCTAGCTCAAGAGGGCATGAGATGCCTGATCAGTGTCCCAGTGCTCCCCTGCTATGGCGTAGAGAGGTAGTGATATCAGCTGCCCTTGCTCAGATGGCAGACTGCCACAGTCCATGGGGGACCAGAAGTAGCAGGACAAGACAATATTTGGCTGAGGTGATGAGTTCAGAAGGAGCAGAAAAGTGACAAAAAGAGATGCATGTACAGAAGATGAGTAGTTATCAGAAGGAGCCCTGTCTCATTTACCTCTCAGGACTTCCATTCCCAGTAACAGTATTTTCTTGCCTTGCTGTATGGTCTTGCCTGCAAGTCCAGGGTTGAAAGATGAGGACTTAGTTCATTAAACACTTTGAGCTCTTTAATTAGGAGAAACATTTCCTTTCTTGCCTTTTTGACTATTCCCTTTTATTTTCCACCAGACAGTTACAAAAATTTGTTTTTGTTTTAGTGTTTCTTGTTTTTATTTCCAAAAATTATTGGGGCAAAAACAGGAAGAGGAAAGGAACGAGCAAATGAATATATACATTTTTATATATATTTAAAAACTGCAAACAATTTCGAAAAATAAGATAGGCCCCTTTCAAGTTCTGTGAAATGAAAACAACTTGGATTTAGGGGATGAAAATCATTGCAACGTAGAAATCAAAATGAGCAATATTATTGTTAACTTTCATCTGTAGATACCATAGCTCATATAGTGCTGTGGGATGGTAGAGTTAATTCTATGATGGTAGGTGCCTCAGAGATATGAGTGTATACATTGCTTAATAAGTTAATTAACAAATTAGGGATTTGATTTGCTTACTCAGGATGGAGGTTATGCACTTTCTTCTTAGACAAGCCGTTAATGAGCAGGAACTGAGCAAGTTTGTGAGAAACTCCTGTCTGAATTCCTGGGAGTTCATCTCCACATTGTTATTTGTCTGTCAGCTATTCCCTTTCAGCAGTGCAACTGGAGAAAACTAACCACAAGGAGATGCAAACAATGTGCCACTGTCTCAGATCTGCCTGCCCACACTGCTGCTGCTGGATGTTGGAGCTAGTTCAGTGACAGACACATGTAGCCCACGCTGCTGATGGAAACTTTGTCTACATGAGGACGTTAGTAGTGCTGCAAACCAGAAGAAGGAAACTATCCATCCCTAGTCATCAACTGCCTAAGTATTAGTAACCTGAAATCATCAACCACAACCAGAAAAGCATCTTCCTGTCTATTCACAGTCATTGCTAGATCCAAATTAATTATTCTGCTATCATAACTCCAGTCACCTCTCTTTTCCTTCCAAGCTGTTCTTTATGTAAAAATCACATGCAGACCAGCGTCATCAATACTGCTGCCAGAAATGAACCTCACCAATGGATCTAAACATCCCCCTGCTGCCCCAGCGTTGGGAACCCAGTGATGGACTATATAGCTGGAATCTGTTGCCAGCACACAACTGCAGGCACACAGACACCTCCAACATCACCATGACCATGCCAGATAATGGTGTCCACTGCCAGACCTCTCACTTCATTGACAACAGGCTTTGCCAGCTTTACCAATAAAGTCACTGACAGGAGCACCACTGCAATCACTGACCCCAGACCATCAGCTTCTGTAACACTGCATGTATGTGCCACCGAATTTAAATAGCCTGAATCACACATCTCCCTAGGAAAGAAGTTCATAGTGATAAGGAATATGTATTAACCAACACTGCACTTGCCAGCAACTTCAAAACACCTAATGGAGGCTGACACTAGTGAGTTATTTAGAGTAAAAATGATCCAGCCATGACCTTCATTCAAAGCAAGGATAGAGCTATTTTTGCCATTTGAAGAGGTTAGGCTGACCTTTCTACTGCTGTGTTGTTTGACCTTCACAAAGTTCAGCACCAGAAAAAGGAGGAGACCAGGTCTGACTTCTGTGAATTTGGGGAGGTCCACATCTGGGCTTTATCAGGCACCACCTCTGCTTTGGGCTAAAATGAATGCCCAGATCTTAAAGTGGAAATCTAGGGAAACTGCACTTCTGGAGTTTTGAACACTGTGAACCCATGCCAAAATCTATTTAATTTTTCTTTTGTTTGAAGCCCTCACTGGGAATGCTGAAGTATTATTAAAAATGTATTTAAAAACCCCTACTCCCGTCATCCCAGAAACAAGAGGAATGAGAAAGCACATGTTCTCCCTGTGAGATTTGCTGGCCAATGGTACTGACCAGAGATAGAGGGGGAGAAGCATCTAGACTTTTGTGCATATATCTGAAATGCTAGACATCAGCTGTGTTACAGAGCTGTAAATAAGCACAGATTTTAGCTTGCACATGTAGTTGCAGGCTTCCAGAGAGAAGAGTTGAGGCAGGCAGCAAAAGAATGGTGACCCAAGGGAGGCAATGACCTACTCAGAACCACAAGCTGTGCTGCTAACCCATCTGAGCTAGAAACCCCTTGTATAGTACATAAAATTGGGGAATATCTTCAGGACATAGGACTAAGCACAAATATCAAGAACTGGAGGATACCAGACTGAAGGACCAAACTAACAGCTGTTTGTTAAATTGTTTTTAAAGGTAGCATTAATTTCTGAAGTTGGAAGTTTCACCTTGTAAACAGGGAGAGATCAGTCTGGGGACAGGAGAGTTCAGATGCATAGTCAAGGGCACTTATGATCTGTCACCTGTTTACACAACTGACTGTGCTGCAAGTTTTCAGTTTGGAGGACATTCACCCTAGTTCCTGGCTAGCTCATGCAGTAGAGCTGGAGGCGGGGGAGGACACGAAGCTTTCCACTGTCAATCTGTTTTGATGGAGCAATCTTTGTATTAGTGTTTGTGTGAACCTACCAGTGTCAAGCTCAGAGCAGATATCTATTACCAGCTGGAATATATAGGAAATTGGGGAGCATTGCTCTGCACGGGTAAACATCCATAAACATTCAACAAGGTTGTCTGGGATATTATATACATAAACTTGACACAGCGGGGGCCAAAAGGCTAACCCTTCCCTCATGATTAAAAACGTGCTTTTCTTAGGCCACTAATGTCTGAATCACAGTGGTGACTCAAAACTGTGCCCATACCCTGTCCAAGACAGCACTGAGTCAGACAGGATGAGATTAACACACATCCTTGGCTCCTAACAGCATTCTGCTGTCTTTGCAGAGCTGCCCACCTATCGCAGATTCAATCAGATTCCCTTTCTGGGGGGGTTTCTCTTGACCTGTCAGTATAATTCGGTGCAATGGCTGAACCAAAAAGTCAGAAAAAAAAGATCAAATTAGGTTCACTTAAAGGGAAAACATTTCAGATATTCTGGTGAAGTGAATAAAATACTTATTTTGGATCAACTGAAACCATTGATTCAACCCCAAATGAAACAGTTCATTTAGTTTGGGAGGTGGTCTTTAACCCCTTTTCTTTTCTCTTGCTGAAATCAAATTTAGATCTATTTCAAAATGAAAATGGTATTCAGGATGAAAAGCTGAAACATTTAATTTAGACAATGTCAAAGATTTGGACTTTTTGACCTTTTATCTTTGGGCCAAATCTATTCATCAGATTTGACCCAAATTTGCAAAATAATTTCAGTCACCCCAAGCCTGCACTTCTCAGCAAACTTAAAAATGTCATGAAGATCTACATGTTATTCCCCCTCCTCAGCATTCATCTATCAGTCAGCATTGGCAGACACAATGGTGCCTGCCACTTGCTGCTCACAAAGAAGCACTATTCAATAAATAATAATCAAAGAATACCTCATATCTGTTTTTTTACATTCTCACTAACTTTGAGCGTCTTGATGTTGTAGTCCTAATTTAAGATCAAGAGACCAATTTTTAAAGGTGTTCTGGACTCACCTCTGCCACTGATGTCAACCAGAGTTGCGGCTACACAACCCCATGGGGAACTTAAAGTTAGAATGGTTTTGCTATATTTGAATCATTCTCAGTTTATTCACTCAAAACAATTACAGCATACCAGCTGCTGCCCTCTTGAAAGATTCCCCTCTTGAAAGGGCTCCAAATGTAAGTGTGTCCACACTGAAGAATTTTCCCATAGTGCCCTTCATCTCAAAGGACAGCGAAGTTTTTTTGAAACAATACGTGCACATCATTTGACAGTAGTAGTAGTAGTAACACCTATAATTAAGGTTGTTCAACACTACCTTCCCATTATATGCCCCGTTTCGGTTTCCTATAACTTTGTCAAACTTTATCACTGTGGTATCTTAGCTGAAACCTTTGAAACCAAAAATTCAGCCTAAGGCAGAGTCCTGGCATGGAAAATTTCACTTCAAAGTGTTGGTTAAAGTTTGAACAAGTTATTGGCAATCAAAACCAGATGTTATCGTGGAAAGTGTCAGGCTACCTTAGGTAGGAGTCAGTACTTGTGCTGCATGTAATAAAATATTTCTAGTCATCAAATCATGCATCCCATATAAAGCTCCAACCATGGTCCTCAACACTGATGTAAAGAAGCTCAGCTACAGGGTTCATCATCTATTTTTCTGCTCCCAGACCCCAACTGTATCCTCAGTAATCTACAGTCAGTTGGCAGAATGGAGTTATTACACTTTGAATTTGGTGTCTTTTTAAATGTGGTTAGAGATTTCTGCTTAGACAGCTGCCATCTTCCTTACATTCGTGATGTGATCACTCTGCTCTTGATTCTCCATTCCCTTGGAACTTCCACCCTCATCTGTGCCAGTACAAACTGGGTGAAAAGTACCACTGCTCTAAAAAGACAGCTGCTTTGCACTCACCATGCACTCACTGATACAAATGACTTCACAAGGTGCAGAGAACAAGGAATCCAGGCCTCCCTGATTAGAATTATTATCTGCTGACATTCACAAAGATTGTAAGCAAAGAAAAGACATGGGAGAAAAAAAACACAAAATGAAGGAGTAATGGAGGAAAGGCAATATTGAGAGAGAGAGGAGCATCCAACTAGATGGAGCTTCCTGTGCCAGCAAGTGCAGTCCTCTGCATTCAAAGGCAATTATTGGCCCACAGAGTCTCCAAAATTGTCACTTCCAAACTGAACTGCCACTTCAAATCCAAAAGGAGAAAGAAAAATAAATGAAAGAAATAAAGGGCAAGGGGGAAACAGAATGGAAAAGATAAACTGTACAACAAAGAGGAAGGAAGTTATAAGTATGGGGAAGAGGGAAAGGACAGAAGGAAAGAAACAGACAAAAAAGAAAGCAATAGACAAAGTGAGAGGGAATGTGGATGGCTGGTTTTATATATATATGGGGAGGGGTGCACATGTGTGTATGTACGTATGTGGTCACATCTACATGAGAGTCTTACTGCACAGTAGCTTATTACTACTGCACAGTAGCATCATGTAGCACAAACCATGATGTGACACTACTGCACAGCAGTAATGAGCTACTGCACAGTCAGCATCACCAAAAAGCCATATGGAGATGCTACTGCACATGCAGTAACACCAGATACTGCACAATCATTTAGTACTTGGGTACGCAAGTGCTAAATGACTGCACAGTAACAACTGCAGTCAGTGTCTTGTGTCGATACAGCCTGTATGGACTTCTATATGTATGTATGTATGTATGTACGTAGGTATAGTCAAACACACACACACACACACCAGAAACAGAGCCATCAGGAGACTGAAACACAAAAACAGCCATCACTGGAAAATTTTTAACACACCAAGTCCATGCATTGGGCTGTGAACAAACAAAAAAGGCTCACCGTGAATTTCTTGTAGAGTTCATAAGTGAGGAGGGGGTTGGGCAGCTCCCTGAAGTACAGCTTGCAGAGTGACCCCACACAGTGAATATCCTGGAGGTAAACTTCCCTTGTGAGGTCTGGGCATTGGTCAGAAACAAATTCTTGCCTGAAACAACACAGACCGAGACATAACAGAGTGGAAGAATAGGACTGGCAGTAGTCCATACCTGGTTGGCTGTCACAGGTAGAGGGAAACAAATGGGAGAAGCTGGAGAGCACAGATCTGCCCTTGTGTTACCTGCAGTCCCTACCAGAACATGTCCTGGGCTCAGTTTCCAAGTCTCATTCGGTTTCTGGCTTCCCTCACACAACTCTGCTGCTGGGCCACAAAACTGACATACCGGGATTTTGCCCTCCTCAGAGCAAGAGAGGGTATCTCTGTGTCAAGAGCTGGATATGCCTGGGCTTCTCCATTAATGGATTTAGATGGAAATGCTTCTCCTGGGACACAAGATGTGTTGTGGTTGGGCTTTACCAGCCTTAGGTACCAAGGTTTCCTGTAATCCAGGACTCCTTTGTACCAAAGCCTGGCTCTGCTGCCCTTGCTATCCACCAAGGGACAAGATTCAACATAATGCCTGGACAAGTCCCAGAAAATGATACACAACAGTACCACTAAGTCTCTCTCATGTCTGGTAATCTGCCCTTACCTCAGCTTCTGAATGTTGGATGTTATGCCAGAGAGCCGGTAGATCCCATCCACAATGCCATGAGTTTCAATGAACTCTGCACAGCTCCTCAGCACGTAGGGGACTGAGAATGGAAAAGAGTAATATGTCAGCAATGAAAGCAGAGAGCGATCATTTCATGACGGGCCTCTAAGGAGTCAATCTCATAAAGCAGCGAATGGGGGAAAGTATTGAAATGGACATAATACAGAATGAAAAATATAAAATCTCCCAAAGTAGTCACAAACTGATTTAGAGAGCTAGTCAGTAAATAACCCAATGGTGTTGCACTGCAGTACCTACAGTCTTCATCTGCTATGACAATCACTGAGCCTGATGCCAAGGAGGCTGTTCTAGAAATACCTGGAAAACCAAAAGAGGCTTTTTTTCCAGCAGGGAAAGTGTTTTCATTCTAACTGGAAACATGAAGTAGAAGGAATCCCCCCAAGAGAGCTATTCTTATGCGATCTCCAGATTGGGTGTGTTGAGCCAACATGGTCTGATTAATAATTAAAGAACTATTGCACTTCTGTGAGAGCCAAGGTACTCAAATGATTAGTGCTCATCACTACCTAGAGAGAGGAGATTAAATTGGAATAGGAGCCAGATCCACAAAAGACCATCAGCTTCAAAAGAGTTCCACCAAAAATATAACAGCAATAGAGCTGATCCTTAGAGTAGATATGAGCTCAGGCAACTCAATTCATCTCCAGATCTGGACCCAAAGATCAGCTGTGTATAAATGTGGAGATTTGGCTTCTCCCACTACGCAAGTATAAAAGCCAATCATTCTTTTGGGCTGATCTAATAGCAGAGTTGTTCCCTACTCAATGCTGGAAACTATATTAACACAACATTAGACCTGAGCAATTACGATCACAGAACGGTGAGTAAATACAGATGTTATGGTTCCTTACAGGAGCATTAACACAGCCACACTGAGCATCCTGCATGTTTTCAGAGACAAACAGTAATAGATTAAGCTAGACATTTAACCAGAAAGCCAGGCGCAGCAATTACTGCATCTGTGGAATGCCACAAAGTGAAAGCTTCTGGCTGATCCTTGCCTGAGTTTTTGTGGTTATAAGCCTGCAATCATAATATCACATTAGCACACAGTTGAGACATGTAGGGCCCCAAATTGGCAGTCCAAGGCAGGGCTGAGTGTAACAGAATGGGTGCAGTTCCAATGCACAGGAAAGGAGTCCAGGGATCTTCCCCAGAGGGGCTGCTCTGCATCTCTAGTGGGCCAAGGTATACAGCTTCCTAGGTACTATTTAGGGTCATACGGATACAGTGGCATCTCAGGAAATGATGAATAAGGGCCATTAGCAAAACTGTATGTATTTATTTATTTATTTTTATTCTCAAGTAGTTTGCTATTTAGTAAAGCAAGACTCCTGCACCACCTCTTTTAGCATCTGCAAAGGGACCAGGCAAAGTGAGAAACTACAGAGAGCACAAAGGGGGTGGACAGCTTTGCATTCTGTGAAAAGCCCTGGCAGATGCCCCTGAGGCTCTTCGGATGAGACTTTCCTCACTTTCAGATCATTTTCACTCCAGCCCTTACAAAGTAAGCCAAGCCAAGCCAAAGTATTGGTCTTCAGCGAGGTCTCTGCCCACACCAAGAATTTGGTGTCAAACTGCTCTATATCCTCCTTCACACAAAAAGGGGACTAGACATTCACTAAGTGGGCCACCAAGGTTTCCCACCACAGTGGAGCCTTCATGCACCACACTTTGCTCTATCACGTCTGCACCATTTCTCATCCAGGAGCCATGCATGAGATGCAGAAGAACGAGGTATGGTCTGAACACTGTTGCTTCCCAGCAATCCCCCCACCTGCCAGAATGGTCACTTCAAGAAGCAATTCAGGACTGAGGATCAGACTGGCCCAAAGGTAACCTAGAGCCAGCTTTACAGCGCCCCATACATAGGAACAGAACTAACCACAGGGCCTGGCCTCAGGGTCTTTGAGATTTTGGTTTGATTGCTTCCCAACAGGAAACATGTTTTTTACTCATTCTCCTACAACTAAAAGAGAAAAATGGGGAAAAATTGGATTTTCCTCACACTTAACTCCTGCTAATAATATCATACTATAACACATCTTGGGGCAGAACCCAACCATGGAAAATTTCAGCACCGAAGTTATGAACATGCAAATGCACAGGAGAGAAATATAGAAATATTCCCAGCTTTAAATGCAGCTGGCGCTTCCAGGCATCTGTTTTAATATATATTTAGTTGGCTATATAAAAAAGTGTATCGCTCATTCCAGTAGCATACTGACAAGTCACACAAATTAAATGAACACCAAGGCATAAATGCTTATCACCCCTAAGAGCTGCCAAGTGATACAAATCCCGTCTGTATAGCTCCTTACAGTCTCCCTAAGCTACCCCCTTCTTGAAAGCTGGGGTATTAAGAGCATTTGCCCCAAGACAAGAAAGTCAAGAGACTTCAGCTGTGTCAGAGCTATCTCTATCCACTCCTTCTCTTTCTCTTAGGTGCTCCTCTGGGCGATTACATCAGTAAACCCCAACTGATGATTTAGTACAGTCCCTGCTGCTTGGGGAAATCAGCCCCTTTACCACTCCCTTCCCATTGCTGTCGGGGTGAGGGTGTCCTCATGGGTCCCCATTGTGTGGCTGGGTCCTCACAAATACACAGAACTCCAGCAATGCATCAACCAAAAAAAAGGCCTATCAGCAATTACCCTGAAAGTCCCATGATCTAAACAGATCTGATTCCCCTCTGGAGATCTCCATGGAGTTTCATTGGGATGGCAGAGAAGAGAATTTGTGTGGATCTTTAGAAGCAAAGACTCACTGTACCACCTTGGGATGGTTTTGAAGTCCCCTGAGCAGATGGACGAGAACCAATCTTCCATCGCCATCTACCATAATACCTGTTTATTTATCTACCATAATAACTGTTTTCACTAGGAACTCTGAAGCAACCTGTATAACATCCAGGATGCACAGGAGCAAGAGACAAAGGTTTCTCAGCAAGGGTCCCATGGGTACAGAACTCTGCCTTGCAGGATAACTCAGTCTCACAGCCTTCGAGATGAACGGTGTGACCCACCCATTCACAGTCACACTAGCACTGCTCTCTCATCAGGGGCAGCTGCTCTAATAACAGATGTGGAAGGAGACAGATGGTTAAAGAAGGACATTTCCTTCCACCTGTCCGCCATAAAAACCTTTTGACAGAGAGAAGAGAGAGCGAAACAAACAAAAGACCCTTCCATCTTTGAGTAGGACTGAGAGTCAGTTATCTTTTAGCAGGTGCTCACATCCTGTGATTAGCATGATGCACATAAATAGCTAAAATGACAAATGGCTTCTCCCATCTTGACAAACTGAATCTATTTGGATTGCAAGCACTTTGTAGCAGAAACTGTATGTGTATGGCACCTAACATAGTAGGAGCAACAGCAATATAAATACGTTAATAATGATAACAGCAATAGCAATAATCTAAGATAGATCCATGTTAATTTCAAATCTGTTCTGGTGCAAAGGCAGATGAATAACTACTTGCCACATGGAAGAGGAAGAGAAAGATTATATTCAAGTTAAAGCTAAACAGTGACGACTATGGAAAAAAAACAGTTGAAAGTATCTAGATCAGAGATAGGCAACCCCCAGCACACATGCCAGAGAGTGACATGCAAAGGCATATTGCTTAACATGTGTGCCTGGGGGTGGACAGTGGGAGGGGGGCCACAAGGGGCCCAATGCTTGTTGTGGCAGTGCAGCCCCAGCCCCTTCCCCACTGTCCTCTTCAAGGTGTGCGTGCACCTGCCACTGCCAATGAGCCCAGCTGGGACTGCGTGGACCCTGGTGCAGCTGCTTGCAGCCTCCCTACCAGCTGCAGGGAGGGTTGGCAGGTGGCAGGGGCAAGCCCAGAGCCCAGGCTAGCTGTGGAAGGCAGCCAGGAAGCTGCAAGCAGCTTCACTGGGATCTGCGGAGCCCTTGTCCACTCGTTGCTGGCAGTGGGTGCACACGAGCCTTGGATCAGACATCAGGGAAAGGGCCAAGGCTGTTCTGCCACAACAAGGATCAGGCCCCTCACAGCTGCCCCACCACCCTCCCCTGGCATGCCAACATCTTACAAGTCAAGGTTGCAGATTGCAGGTGTTTTTGACACTCTGCCCAAAAACACTGCCGACCCCTCATCTAAATGTCATAGTAATATGGTCTGTGCCTAAAATATTAGTCTCTAATTATCAAGATAAAGGATAAACTCATGAAAAAATGCTCCATGTATTAAAAAGCCATTCAAACATAACCTTTTGGTCTTCCCAGAAAAAAAAAGCCTGTTACAAGCTCTTCAGAGCCTGAAGCTTGCCTGGAGTTTACTTGCGACAAGAAGTATCAGGCAGGTGAATGAGCCTCTTACATACCCACTGTTAGAACTGACTCCATCTGAGGAAGCCAAGTAAGAAAGAGAAGGGACCTTAGGGACCTCAGGTCAGCAGCAAACCTTTTCAGTGCTTTTTGTGGGGGGGTTAAACATCTGTGTGGAGACAGCATTCATGAAACAGAGAGGCTGACAGCAATGGAGCAACCCAGCAGAGCATAACTAAGTAATGCATACTTGGGTCCTGCTTTTCTGGTCATGGGCTGTCCACATATGCTACTGTCTACAGTGCCCCCCTCCTTTGCTATTCCTCCCCTGCACAGCTCTGCCAGTACCCCTTACTCTTCCCCTGCAGCACCCCCAGCAAATCAAGTCCTGACATCTAAAAAACATCTCTGCCAAGAGGCCCAAGACCCTCCATCGTTATGCACATAATTTCCTGCTGTTCCAGGCCTTTTGCATAGAAACAGTCAATTGTGCCAAATCATGTGGGGGTTTTGTGATGTCCAAAAAAGTCCAGATGGGGCTCATTTCTTTTATGACCAAAAATGACAAACTTAACCTCAGGTCCCGAGTAGTGTATGGACTGTATCACCTTCCTGTAAAACACGCCCCAAAGTGCAGCATTTCTATGAAACAGGAGCAAAAGAAGCATTCTCTTTCTGCAGAACCTGCTGCCCTGAAATCAGGGCTAAGCAACTGTAATCTCTAAG